AGAACTGGCGGTCAGTTTCAGCAGCGGCTGAATCTGGACGCCAGTTCCGACTTACATACAGATTCAACTTAAGAACAAACCTACAGTCCCTATCTTGTACGTAACCCGGGGACTGCCTGTATTGTGCTGTCTAAATGAAATTGTAAACACTTTGGAGCAGGGACTTTGGCTTAGCTTGTATTTTGTAAATGTCTCTGTACATTTATATGTAGTAGCAGTAGTAGAAGGAGAAGAAGGAGTAAAAGTTAATCACATTAGAAGCCATGTAAAAAATTAGCATGGCTTTAATTTTGTTAGAACTCACAAAATGAGACTTTTTTGCTTGGGCATTTGTGTATTATAACATAGTTATCGATCTATCAAGGGCCAGTAAGATGAGGACACTAGTGTATTGACTTTATTCTTGCTACAGAAAGTAAAAACACTAAGGCTATGTCTACATAGCAGCGTTATTTCAGAATAACATGGGTTATTCTGAAATAACGTAGCGTGCATCTACACAGCAAGCCCGTTATTTTGAAATAAATAAAAAATAATGGGCTTCTTACTCCATCTCCTGTAACCCTCGTTGTATGAGGAGTAAGGGAAGTCGGAGGAAGAGTGCTCTATTTTTTAATAACAGCTGTGTAGACAGTGCCAAAAGTCAAAATAAGCTATTACTGTAGTTCAAGTTGCATAGCTTATTTCGAGATTAGTCTTGCTGTGTAGACATGCTCTAAGATGCACAAATAAGTTTATTGTACATGGTCCATTAATTTTAATGCTCTGTATTAAAGAACTTTTGTTTAGTGTATGAATGTAGCTTTGTTTAATATTCAGAAGATCTTTCTATATATTTGCATAGGCACCTAACATGTCGGGGCTAATGGGTGCTAACACAAAATAATAAGTAAAAAAGTAGTGTTTAATGAAATAAACCAAACTATACCACTTATTTTTTTAACAAAAATATTTGTTAAGTGTTTGGAAAAAATACTATTCACACTTCACAACTCTATTAAGAAGATGGCCTAGCTGCTTCTAACGCAGAAATACTGTACTGACCTGAGTCTTTTGGCTAGAGATATAGTATAAGTCTCAGTCCACAAAGATTCAAAACTGCAAGAGTCTTACTTTACAATAAAGATCAAGTAGGATAATGAAAGGTTGTATGGGACAGTTACATTAAATTGGGCATAAACATCCTCTGGAACAGACTGAGATATGACTAGTATATAACGGACAGAGATTAGAACTGAATCACTTTGCCAATATTGCATAAGTGTGAAAAGTTAACTTTGAGTAAAACTGAAAATCTTTAGAGAAGCTTTTTGAGATGGTCCTAATTTTAAACTAAAAGTCAGCTACTCAGAGAAACTAAAACTGAATCCTTCCTGACCTATTACTTACACCCAAGCCGTCTAGTTGAGACATAACTGTTAAGTCTTCTTGAACTTGAAGCAACTGAAATAACTAGGCAGCAACAATATTTAGGCAGGAAACATGAAATGACATGAAATTTGGAGGAGAGTTTAAAAACACTAACATTTTAGTCCATACTTGTGTTTTCTACCTCAACATTTCTTTTCTTTCTTTCTTTCTTTCTTTCTTTCTTTCTTTCTTTCTTTCTGTAATAAATAATGCTCACTGTAGTCGTGCAGGAAAACTCTATCCTGGCAATTGGCTGGTTCTGCCTTTGTTGTGTAACCATTATCAAACATTTTTGGACATTAGCACAGTTTGATGCTGTAGCATCAACTGGATTTTGTTCATATTGTTAAGTTAAAGTCCTGGTCCGGTTTTCCAAACATAGTTGACTTACATGGCTATTTCTAACAACGTCAGATATGAATATTGTGTCCCAGCACATTCTCTGAACATGGTTATTTTAACACTGTTTTTAAAAATGCAAAAACAATGAGGAGTCCTGTGTCACCTTAAATATTAAAACATTTATTTGGGCATAAGCTTTCATGGTCTGGAAACCATTTAGTCAGATGCAAGAAATGTAGTACTACCATCCCCAAATGTTCATAAAAGTTGAGCTGGGCTCCCAAACCCATGAGATTGTCTTGAAAATTATGATATTTATGAAAAAAATCAGTCTGAAGTTCTTTTTGTTTGCATTTTGGATTTTGACACAAGGTCACATTTTGAACCTTTTTGCCACATTCAATGCTAAAAATTGTCTTAAAATTAAAAAAAGAGAGAGAGAATCTCATCTCATCACCCGCCTCCCAAAGCTGGGGCTTTAAGAAAGAACACTAAACATTGTAAGGCTGGCAAGTAAATTGTGAAAGCTGGAGTAGAGGAATGGGGACAGAGACCAGGCCATGGTTTCTAAACACAGTTTTTGTGTTGTTTCTAGGGTTGCCAGGTGTCCGGTTTTGAACCGGACAGTCCAGTATTTGAGCTTTCTGTTCGGGAAAAAAATTGAGAATATATAAATGTCGGGTATTTTCTAAAGAAGATGTAATGTAAATTGTGATGTAAGGTCAAGTGTGTCTGGTATGTTTGTTGAAACCATCTGGCAATCCTAGTTGTTTCTAGCTGTGCGAAGCAGGGGCACACACCGGCTCTGGCAAGGTCCCTGAACATATTTCTAGCCTTTTGGCTAGCAGTGCCAACAGGACAAAAAGCACTGCACTGGGGTACTTGGAAATCACTCCTGGGCACAGTTAAAAGGAAGTGTGTAGGGATGTGGAGCACAGGGTGAGGGGGACGGTGACCTACGGGTGGGGCGGCCAGTCAATCCCAAGGAAGGAGTGCCCTGCTTGGGTGATCAGTTTTTGCAGGTTGCAACTTGGCTTGTGTGTGTATGGGGGGGAGGTGCAGCAAGGGACCCTCCCCCCAGTTTTATTA